ATGGTTTCCAAGAGTTTTTAGCCTGATTCATTGTACTTTTGAAAAGATTATATACTGTATAATGCAGAAAAACCTCAGGTGAGGGGAAAAAGGTTGTTTTTTTCTGTTCCATCCTCAGTATGTCTGAAACAAAAGCATTTGATGTGATACTTACACTCCTGATGAAATCTCCCAAGTGTTAGCTTTATTTTGATATCAGAGGTATTTATATGATGTTTTTAGGTGCTGAGATACACCCAGTTACATTTGGGCATGCTTTTTTGAGCACAAACTTCAAGAAAGCCCCTTGGGGTTTAAGAGGTTTAACACCCACCATAATGTCACGTAACAATGACCCGGTGTCTCTGCTGGCAGAGGGATCTGACTGCAGGAGGTGTGTTTGACATTTATCACCCAGAAGTTTGCTCACATTTCAGAAAGAGCACATTTGTTTTCTCATTTATTTCTCGCTCATGTTCCAGCCTCAGATCAAACAATGCTCAGAGATGTGGGGTCTGAGTGGAGCCCGGCGCATTGGAGGGGCCGTGTCCTCCGCTGTCAGGGACTCAGACGGCTGCTCGCTGATCTCTGCTGGAGGTGAGGAACTTATCTGAATGTGTTCACAGAACCAACATGTCCTGGCTTCCTAAAACACACAGCTCAAAAACAGATCTGTATTAAATATTCATTTCACATTCATGGGACTTTTTCAAATAAAGCTGCTTTCTGGTAGCCAGAAAATCTTTTAGTCCATCCTGAAATGCTAATCGTGTTTCCATCCAGTTGTAGAGTGAATTTTTATCAAACTTTTCAAAATTCGCAAAAAATTAAATAAAAAAATTCGAATATAGACTGTTTCGATCTAGTTTCCCTCTTGACTGATTGATGCGAATAAATGAGGCTACGCAACGCGTGATAACATCAGACAAGGCTACGCAACGCGTGATTACATCAGACGAGGCTACGTAAGGCGTGATTATGTCAGATGAGGCCATGCAACGTGTGATTACATCAGACGAGGCTATGCAATGCGTGATTATGTCAGACGAGGCTACGCAACGTGTGATTACATCAGACGAGGCTATGCAATGCGTGATTACATCAGATGAGGCTACGCAACCCATGATTACATCAGACGAGGCTACGCAACGCGTGATTACGTCAGACGAGGCTACGCAATGGGTGATTACATCAAACGAGGCTACGCAACACGTGATTACGTCAGACGAGGCTACGCAATGGGTGATTACGTCAGATGTCAGCGACAAGCTTTGCGGTAGTAAACAGGAAGTGACACTTGCTAACTAGCAGAGGCTAATCATCTCGAGACAATGGAGCGATTTTTTCATGAATGCTTTGTTATTGGGCAAGTTGTAATTATTCTATCTATTCCGCTAGTACAGGCTATGTTTAACGCTGCCAGGAAACGTAGGGAAATAAACGCAATGTTAAACTACGCAGCAGAAAGGCACGTGCAACTATGCCGGGATGAGGCAGGCAAGTGGAAACAGCTGAATGTCACGTGAGGTAAATATGCGCTACATCAGAATTTATTTGGCAAACGTGTTTCCATCTCCCCTTTTGCGCATTAACTACTTTGTGAATCATCCAAAAGCCACCTCACCCGAGCGTAAAAACTTTTTACGAATTTAGCATTTTTTTTTAATTTTGCTGTTTCCAGCCTACTTTCTTTTTGCATTTTTAATGCGACACTTCTAAATGCGCAGTGAACAAATCAAATTAACAGTAACTGATGTCAAATCATGMCAGCAGTATAAATCACAGAGAATGTAAACACACACAACTTGTTTTGCAGACTACACTTGCTTATTTGGATGTATTAAGTGACTGGTGTTATGAGGTTTTTAAAGATTTTAAAACTCTATGGAAATGAATATGTACGTTTTAATTGTATGTAATGTAGCATTTTCCTGCATATAAATAGTCATTTCTGATTAGATTTCACTTGTTCCTATGACAACGGCTTAGGAAGGAAGAAAATCCCACTTTAACTTCAGACTATTGCATGGAACMTCATTTGTGGCTCMAATTCACATCTCTTACACAAACCCCCACCAGACTTCCTGACGCCTTACTGTTAAAAGATATGAAAGAATTGCCACATTCCTGTTCCAAACCCCCACAAGTTCTGTGCTTCCATCCCCCATAAGCACAAGACTGTTGGTTCCTCTTCAAAGGGTCATAAATGCCTTTAACCAGACTCTTCGGTGACTGATAACAAAGGACCTACATTCTTCATTAAATGTGAAAAAAACGAGAACAAGATTGAATGTTTTTATACAACTATCTGTTTTCATATATCTTAATCAAAGAAATGTGATTTACCTGTTTTTTTTTACAGTAATGTTAATTGTATTTTTGTATTTTGATTTCATGGACCCCAGGAAGACTAGCAACCACTGCTGTAGAAGCTAATGGGGATCCAAATAAAACAATAAACACACAATTCCAGTACTCATTTGTATGTTCACCCCTCTCAGGTCATGTTTATAGTTTGTTTTTGAGTAAATCTTTAGATTAAAATGTTACCCTGTGTTTAAATGTTAGTTTTACATTTCTCTGCTCAGGGTGGATTAAATGTTTAACTTTTTTTTACTTTCCTTTTTATTCCAACTAGCAATCTAATAGATTCCTGTTTTGTTATATTTTATAAATATGTCCAAGTTTAATAATGTGTGAGAAATCCAGTTTTCTGTTTATTCAGTCAGTGTTTAATACAGCTGGCACAATAAATTTGAGAAAAATATGTTATGGAAATATTTATTAAAAGGCAGCAACACATGAATACAAAGAAGATGCACTCTGTGAATGGTCGTCAAATGATTTAATAAGGTTTTGCAATTGCAAAGACGGGCTACAGCGTGACCAAGTCCGAATCAAAGAGATGGGCACCCTGTAGGGGAGACTGGGGTAAGTTGAGCCAAAGGGTACGTTGAGCCACCCCTTGTTGCAAGGAAACGGTAAACAAAATAGATCATATGACCAAATATTTTGGAGGAGGCTGTCATTTCATGGAGTCTGTGAAGGTAAGAACCACATGGGTAAAGTGGTTAGATATTTATTTCTGAAAATACATTTTTCACTCTTGAAAGTGAATTTAGTCTATCACAAGTTTCATGAGAATTGTGTTTAGACCAAAAATAAATAATTTTAAATTTGTTTTATACATCAATTGTGGTCTCTATGAGCTACAGCACGAGGTGTTAAACCTAGCATAAACGTGCACCATTTTAGCTGTGGGGACTAATAATGCCAAAATGGTAGCTCTGGGGTAAATTAAGCCATTTGGTGTATTTTGGCTGTAGCCTGTATGTCTTCAATATTAAATCAAGATTCTGCATTTGTATAATTACAGAGTGGACATCATGCCTCGTGTATATAAGCGCAAAATAAGTAGGGGAGCCACCACTGATGTTCTTCAAATAGCCACCAGTGAAGTGAGAGAAGGGAAGRCTATTGGAGCAGCAGCTAAGGATGCCAAAATAGACAGAATGACACTGAAGAGATATATTGATAAAAAAGAAAATGTACCTTTGAAAAAGACAGA